CAGCCACACCCACACTCACACCACCACATCCACACCCGCTCACATATATCTCTATGAGTTTCATCGGCAAAAAAAAGCGTTGCAACTGGAAATATTAGAGCCTTCTTTTTTCATGGATCGCCCGATATTGTCAAAAGTTCACAATATGGGATGTGAGTATGGTGTTTGAGTGTGGATATGCGAGTTTTCTGCTTATGTACAAAAAACACCAACTACCGCACCAACATCCACAGTCACTCGCACACAAATCCACCTTCAAACTGACACCTACACCCCCACCCGCACGCATATCCACACGCACACCCATACTCACACTCATACACCCACACCCCACATCCACCCACATCCACACCCCATATTCTTCTGATGTAACGGCATTTATTCTTCCTACAGGAATTTATTCTTTCTTGGAATAGAATCCCATGAAAATTAAAGTTGTATGAAGAGACGGACTAAGCGGCGCGGAAACCAGTGATAGTAGTTTCCATACACTTATATCGGGATTAAACTTATTCATCGCATAATCCTTTAAATCTGCTGTTAGCTGGTCTATCATCAGTGTCATAATATCGTTTATTATTTAGTGTCGAAAAACCATCAAGGTATTTTTGAGCCACAGCAAAGTTGTAATATTTCGTAATCTTGCTTCTAGTTTTAAATCATTCATATAACCAAGATTTATGAAAAACCTCTTAATATAATCGTTATCTCTGTTGTTCACATGAAAGTGACCACCTTGACCTAAAACACAGCATGATGAACAATATGAGCTGATCCTTTACTCCCAGACACTCGAAATATATTTCCTATACTAGAAAAATGTGGTCACAGTTACATTTTCTCGACACTGTACTATTCAATAGGGAACATAGAAACTAAGGACATTTTTGTAGATCATCGTTCTAGCTAAGTCGATCACCTAAAAGCATTTAAAAAATTGGTCCATTACCAAACGTTAAAAATTTCGTATTTTTACGCCCACTGATTTTAAGTTCAGTGACATGAGGATCGGTTCGTAGTTTTCTTACAGAATTTTTTCAATTTTAGCAGAACTTATGAGGTTTCGCAATGTTACCGCGAAATTCTCTGCAAGTTCTGTATGCTGGTTTCTAATTTGGTGCGCATTAATTTAAAAAATTGATGGCTTCATAAGGAGCAAGTGTAGCTATGGATAGTGTGCTAGTACGGCTGCACATGTGGATGAAGAGAATTTTCACTTGCACATCCGTACCCACCCACATCCACACCCACACCCCATCTTCTTATGAGAAACTGGAGAAGGGTTTACTAATATGCCTATAAATATATGTTTCCAGATGTGCTCAAGCTATCTGTATTTGACAGGATATTTTCAATTTGATCACCTTTACATTCAATTAAATAACATTTTTATACTCTGTTTTTCTTGCTGATTACGAATCTGAAGTTACATTATCTATTCGGCTGAACATAAAATATGTAGTATTCAAATTAGGGATTAGGATGGATAGGGATGTGCATCACCCATCAACATTTGTAGTATTGACTAACTATTTTCGCTGTTGTGTTAGCCTATCAAAGTAATATCTTAAACGATGCAGAATTTTAAGTACTTTCACGAAACATAATGTTTATTTTCGGATTGTAAGATCGCGCGTGGCTAGAGTCAAATTTCCAGAAAATCCTCTTTTGAGCTGATTCCCATTTTTGCCCATATATTGTCGTTATCAGTTGATGAATCGTATTGTATAGATCACTGAGCTAGCCTGTTGTGTAAAGAAAATATTTCTGTCTCTTTTAAGGCTTGTCCAAACTGGAACCAATGAATGGACACAGAGGAAAATGCAAAACACTAACAACAACCTGAAAAACCGTCATTTCGACCCACGATGAAGAATAGTATCACTTGTATACTTTGACATTTTTCACAGGTACGTTAGGAACAGCTAATATCTCTAATTTAGAGGATCCTAATGATACCCTATCGTTCGAGATAATAAAGTCGAGAATCAAAATTTTAGCTGCGCCTGGCTTGTAAGGTGATCTGGTGGACTCTCTCATAAAATGTTATTTTGGGTGCTATTAGCTGGATGATCATATCTCGACCAAAACTCATTCATCAGATCTATAAATTGGGCTATACGCCTGAAAAACTTAGCTTTACAAAATGATATGATTTTCATTCAGATGTAGACCGTTCGATCGAGCACAATAGTCGTAGTCGTCATGGAGGGACTACTATGCAAATGCCTGATGGAGAATATATCAAATTTTTATAGTCATATTTTAGTTTTAATATAGTCAATTATACGGTTTTGCTCAGCGTTAAACTCTCTATCGAATGGTATGAGAAACTAACTATTAAACCATGTAAAGACTACCAAAACTTAATGAATCAGGTGTTTCATTATTCTGAATCCTAAAGGACATTCAGTGCCTATCTAATAGAACACCAAATTAGAGTGAAAATTTTGTCGTTCAAGCTGAAATTTACAAGAGTGACTACTAAACTAGACCGCTATAATTGCTAAAAGTCACGTCAAACAGCTTTTATTTTCCAATTGTGTCCACATTACTCAAAGTTCTCGTTGGTCTATACTGCAGAAAAAATACTGCTATTTTGTGACGACACTTGCCAGGTCAAACTAGAAGATGAGTGTATGAGGGACTTGAGAATGACTATAAAATTTATTTCAACGGCAGCGAGAATTCGTAAAGGACAATGTAAATATCGAAAAGAACGGACCATCAAAACAACAGAATTTACTTTTTGCAGAAAAACTGCAAAAAGTACTTAGGTCATACCAAACTAGTGAGTCCCGCATCTTAATTTTGTATAGACTGCTTGGAAAAAATTTCTTTTCTTATGAACAGATAGAGCGTCTTTTGCTCTATATTTCTATGCTATTTGATCACTATTCAACCGATATCATAATAAAAAAATTATCATAAAACCTCTTCTTTGTGCAACTCTAGCTGGTACTAATAGTGCATACCGGATGGTCCATAAGTAAGGAAACAGAAAAAAAAATTAAATATCTCCATTAGGCTCGACCTAACGGGCTCATTTTTATACCAAGGCTAGAGGTCTGTTCATACCCCAAATCCATACGAACAAGGTTGGTGAGAATCTTTGTTAAGTATCATTAGTGACCTCAACAAAACATTTCACCTTTTTACAAATAGGAAAAAAGCCTAAAGGTCAGTTTACTGGAAAGAAAACTGAATATCTTCATTACAGCTCGAGCAAACGAGCAGATATTTTAACCAAAGATAGAGGCATGTTCATACTCTAAATCCATATGGACAAGATTAGTGTGAACCTTTGTTAACTATATTTTTTTCTTTTCTTATCTGTGAAAAGGTAAAATTTTCTTGTTGAGGTCAATAGTGATACTTACAAAGGTTCTCATTCACCTTGTCCGTATGGATTTGGAGTATGAACAGGTCTCTAGCCTCGGTATAAAAATGAGCCCGTTAGGTCGAGCCTAATGGAGATATTCAATTTTTTTTCTGTTTCCTTACTTATGGACCATCCGGTATGCACTATTAGTACCAGCTAGAGTTGCACAAAGAATAGGTTTTATGATAATTTTTTTATTATGATATCGGTTGAATAGTGATCAAATAGCATAGAAAGATAGAGCAAAAGACGCTCTATCTGTTCATAAGAAAAGAAATTTTTTCCAAGCAGTCTATACGAAATTAAGATGTGGAGCCCACTACTTTTGGCACGACCTGAGTATCGTACTCCTATATTCGTATAACTCTATATTCTTATCCACCTATAGTTATCTATCTTGATACCCCTATACCAAGGCGAAAAACAAGACTTCTATGACTCGTGCTGTCATTCAGACGTCACCTAAATCACCTCAGGAGTACCGAATTGTGGGGTGTAGATGTGATGTGTGAATCTAGGTGTTGGTGAGTGTGGGTGTGAATGTGGATGTGTGAGTGAAGGTGTGAGTCGGTGCGAGTGTGGGCGTTGATCTACTGTTCTCGCACACTCACACCCACATCCTCAGTGTGGGACTTCGTGAAAATGTAGTTGAAACCCAACACTGAATAATTCGATTTAGCCAATGTAGGATTCCAGGCTTCGTGACAACATCTCTGACTGGGTTTCCATGCAATTCAAATCTAGAGTTTCACTACTATCCGCCATTCTTGGTCAATGAATCCAAAGCAGTTTCTCACAAAACCACACTGTACAATGCGTCTCCTATAAAATCCTATGAGAACTAGAGCTGTGGCAGTTCCCGATCAAAGAACTGAACCGATGTCAATCATTCAGTTCTTTTAAAAAGAACAGGAACTGGTTACCAGTTCTTCTTTTGACAAGCGGAACAAGTACTGAATAGAATTGCTATGTTATCGTTATCAGTATACCGAGTGAATATGAAAAGAACTGGTCACTCAATAAAATTCTCGAAAAATAACTGGTCATTGGACCCAATTCTCGATCAAAGAATCGGTTTTTCGACCCAATTCTCAAAAAAAGAACTGATCCCTGGATCCAGTTTTCCAGGAAAGAACTGGTTGCTGCCCCCAGTTCTCATAAAAAGAACCAGACCATAGAACTGTGAGCTGTCAAAACTCTAATTGGAAATCGGTATACCAAATTCATTATACAAGATTCTACTGTGAAATTCGGCAAGATTGTTTCCATTCTCGTAGCATAACATGGCAGGACTTCGTCAGATCGATCTGACATACCGATTTCTTACTATTTCTGTGGAAACCATAAAGAAGCCGAGGAATTACTGCCAGCATCATTCAAAGATTCTATCGGATCATACCGTACCATTCATTGTTCTGGGTTTGGGATGTCGTGGAGACGTAAACGAATGATATCGGATTCTGACTCTGAAAAGCCCATAGGATCATCCCTGTAAGAATGCGTTGCTTTCATTGCGTTTTATAGGATCTACAAGGCCATTTCGACCAGAGTAATGACCTGGTTAGTTCTCGATACTGATACGTTCGGTTTTTTGCGTATCGTCTTTTTTGAAATTATTTTGTGATTCATTTATGTCAGGAGTTCGATTCATTATTGTGTGCGACCGTTCCCTAGTCTCAATCCTGCTCATTCCTTGAGAAATCCTGTAAGAATCTTTCAGGCTCTTGAATCTCAAGGATCCTAGCAAGTTTTATTCAGGATCCTGTTTCGAATCCTGATAATTCCTGTTCCCAGGAGTTTTCAAGGTGAAATAGAATCCTGTTCAGAATTTCTTCAGATTCCTGTTCAGATATTTTTCTGAGTTGAGAATACAGGATCTTACCACGATTTACTCAATATCCTACTAATGGTCCTCTCAAGATTATGAGAGAGGATTCTGCCAAGATTTTATAAGGTTTTCGTCAGGATCTAGATCAAATCTTCGTATCAGGATCCTGTCAGGAGTGATATTCACATCACAGAAGAATTTTGGTAAGAAAACAACAAGATTAGTCAGAATACAAAGCCGACTAATCCTGCAAAGTTTCAATCTGGATCTTATTCAGAACCTTTCAAGAATATGCGTTTCCACATTTCGGAAGATAGTATCAATTCTAATCAGGATCTTGATAAGAAGATGTATGGA